TTCAAAGTACAGATTGAATTACTAAAATATATTTATATTATTTTGACAAAAATAAAAAGAAATAAAAGTTGTAACGTTATAAAAAATAAAGTCGTGCGTTACCTCCTCTAGGTCTGTTTTCTCTCCCAGTTTGCTGACGACAGTTCGGGCGGCGCTTTCCCTACGTCCACTTCCTGGACAGACAGCTCCTCGGCCAGTGGGTGGTGGCGGACGCCGAGGATCCGTCCAACCCGCAGGTCCAGTCGTGACACGTCAACCTGAGGCCACCCCCAAGGAGAGCAAGTCACAGGTGGGACGAGCTAAGAGAGAGAGAGTAAAGTCATATTTTTCTATCTGCCCTCCCACCCTCCTTCCTTCCTTTCCTCATCTCACCTTTCCTCTCTCCTCTCTTCCTCCTGCTCTGCCTCTCTCTCCGGTCATGTGAGGAGGAAGAGGAGGGGGAGGAGGATTTGTTGGAACAGCAGCTGATGCTCCAGCGGTGGAGGGAGGTTGCGTTGTGGGGCGGGGCTACGGGTTGGAGAAGGCGTGGAGAACAAAGCCTTGGCTGAAAGAAAAAAAAAGAGAGAAGATTTTTTTTAAACTGAAAGCAAAAAAATGCATGAATTTAAATTAATGTGGCTGTTTTTATCTTTTGGGTAAATCTCCAAAATGTTTGACTTAATAAAGTTCTTATTAAATTAAAATAATCCACTCTGACCACAGTCGACATTGATGCAGCTCAGAGGAAAAACATCTGCAGTTGCCCAAGTGTGTCAGTGAGTGTCTGTTTCTATCTTTGTGAGGACTGGGTTGAGTTTTACACCTTTACACCTCAGGACTGTTTCGTTTTAATGTCTTCAGAGGGCCATTTTTAAGGGTTAAGATTACGTTTTAGGGTTAACATTTTCAGGTTTAGGGAATGCATTCTGTCACAGAGGGTGTATAATTGTGTACCGATGCGTCGCCTCTGTTTTTCCTGCAGCTGATTCTTCAGCTGCTCGATGTCTTTCTTCAGTTTGCTGTTTTCCACCAGCAGCTTCTTTGATCTCTGACCGATGCCTGCAACACTAAAAAATAAAATGTTTCATTTCATCATCCTCACGAGCATAACCTGCTTAAATTCATTTGTTTCACAATGTCACAGCATTTTATTAGAGCCTAAATCAGCACTTTCTTTGTTACACATTCAGTTACAGACATGGGGGCCTTAAATAAAGCAAGAAACTAAGAAATAACATAACTAAAACAAACAAAAAGGATCCAGGGTTCTGGTTCAGTCCTACATGTACAGGTGACGAGTTTTCTTTTGTTGTGATTTTAATTAATATGGCATCCGTTTATTGATCTTTCATTGGTTTGTAACTTGGAAATTTAATCCACTACTGGACTACTGACTCTTACGTGCTTTCTCTCTCGCCAGCATGGCGTGAGTTTTAAAATACTCCATGATCTGCTCGCCGTCCTCTGGATCGAGTTTCTTTAAAACAGCTTCCACGCTGAGAGACAGAAAAACAGTCGATAAGACAGTGAAACAGTGGGAAAGTAAATTTTCCTATAGAGAGCCATGAACGTAGGTTGGGTCAAAATAACATTACATGACTTGAATTACTTAACTAGAGCTTGAGTGACCTGTGTAACTTAAATAAAAACATTTCTGGTTTCTATAAAGATGGCTCCGTCATCAGGACTGAGCCTACAGGTCACATGACCATCCACCATGTTTCCAAGTCTGATGAAGGCCTCTACAAGTGTGACATCAGCGGTCATGGAGAGTCTCCATCCAGCTGGATCTCTGTCACAGGTGAGGAGCTCAAAGATAATTCTCAAACTGACCTTGTTTAGTTTCTACATTGAGAAATTGACTTTTTGTTTCACACAGGAAACAAAGTTGAAAGTCCGGTTTCTGGCCCTCAGTCCACCCCAACCACCTTACTCTGTCTTTTCTGTTAAATGTCCTACACCTACCCGTCAAAAAACTGAAGCTACAGGGCTTCCCCACTGCACTGAACTATGACAGTAAGGGGTTCCCCAGTGAGTTTCAAACTGATGCCAATGGGTCTTCACCAATGCGTCCAATTGTGACAATTTAGGGAGTGAGAACGGGTTGGGGGAAACAAAAAATTTAAATTGACTCTTTTCCTAAACCTACTCCCAAAATGAAATGCTGTTGCCTGAGCGGCTAATAAACCTTTGATTCACATTAAGTCTTAATGTTGATAAGCTTTTTGCTCCCCAAATTCTCAAAATTCATTGTATTATAATAAACCTAAAAAAATTCTAAACATGCATTGATCAATAACTAAAACTATGAATTTGCAATCAAATCATATGTTCAAAATACATATAATAAAATCATGGCCACTGGGCATCAAGCTCGCTTCCTTTGCAAAATCCAATTTGACGGCACTGTCTGGCTGGCTGGCAATACAAAACACAGAAAAGGAGATCCCACATGTGAAAACTCTGTGCCCGTTGCTGATAATTGTCTGCCACCGGTGCTTAAGTCTCAATCAATTCAGACAAATTTAAGTCGAGTCAAAAGTCCGATGTAACAAAGTCCGATCTCAAGCTGAAGTCTCAGCAGTTTTTTTGACTTCCTTTGACCTTTGATTTGATGATTGCTGTTAAGGACATGAAGGACGAATGAGCTTTGTCAGGTAAGAAAAAGATGTCACAAATCTTTCAAATGTCTGTTTATCAACATATCTCGTGCAAATATGATGAGTTAACATAAATTAAAGAGTTAAAATGGCTTTATGATCTCATCTGTTTTCAGTGACACCACAGGCTCAAACACAGTCCGGGTCTGACATGACTGACAGTACGCAAATCAGACCGGCAGCAATGTCATCAGCGCACGTTTATATAGATGATATCTTACAGGAAAGGAGGTCAGTGTTGTTGTCATTCTCAGAGGATATGCAAGGAGTGAAATGTCAGAATTAATTGACGAGAGAAATTAAATAAATTCTGTTTTCTCAATCCGCATCAAAGCGCTTCCTGTTTGACATCAGATTAACAGGTGGATTGGAACACGCACATTTTTGCTGATAATACTTCTATACTTTTACCATGCAGTATTTTACGTTGTTGTATTACTACTTTTACCTCCCAAATCATAAAAAGACAACACAGTTCACAGGTAAGTTGTATATCAGAGTAAACAACAGGAGTAAAGAGGAGAGTTTAAATAGTTAAACCAAACGAGGAGAGGCCGAGCATGTTACTAAGATAAACTGAGACATGAAAGCATAGAGAGTCATCATTGAAGTTTTGATAGATGTTATCTACGATGAAGGAACGTACGCATTAATACCATCAAAGTACTGCACACACACACAGACTTGCTGAGAGCAGCCTTTTTGCATAACGATAAACAGAATACTGGCGCACCAGTCAGCTGGTTAACATTTACATACACAAACACACTCGACTGACACTAACACACTTATTTACACAAGCTCTTCATTAAAGGGAAAATACCACTAAAACACTTTAAACACGTTTAAATCTTAAATTCTTAATTCTTAAATGCATCTTGGCAATAGACTTTGTGAAGCATTTTGGCTCAATTTTAAGATCAGTAGATAATGATTTTCAGAGCCGATGTGGACACACTCACACATACCCTCGTCGACCTTTGCAGCTTTATGCATGCACAAGGTATAATTTCACCATCAGGTCTTAAGGCACTTGTGTAAGTGATGTGAATTTGTGTTAATATTTTGTGTCATGTTCTACTTTAGGGAACGCTGACACTTGAATTAGGACAAATAGCAAACTGTCCTGACAGAGCTGACCTTGTAGTGAACAGAGCTGTGTGTGTCCACCATCCACTTTTAAATGAACCTCTTCTGTCTGAGTTCAGACTGACACCTGACTAACAGACACCAAACTTACACACAGTTTGGTAACAGGAGTCCATGGTTGTTGTCCTGTTAGTGGTCGTAGCTTGGAGACTTTTTCCCCTCTTCCTCTGTTTATTCAATAAAATGATGTACAGTCCTGGGGACAAACTGTCAGGGGGAGTAAACCGGCCCAATGCTGAGATAAATAGAAAGAGGTTAGAAGGAGAGCTTTTGTGACTGGTTAGCTCAAGCATGTCAACAACTTGCTAGCTTATCGGTGGTTACCAGGCCAGCTACTGCTTCACCAGTCAGCTCAGTGAGTACTCATAATCTCACAAACTTCTAGAGCCAAATATTTAGCAAATTACTTCCACTGTGTCACTTTCGGGTGCAAGTGACAAAAACTAAACTTGTTTTTGTCACTTAGGAGGACATCATATCATTGATTCCTCCTGGACCCTAGCTCAAATCATACTTTACTGGAGGTTTTCCTTAAACTAACAGTATAATAGCGGGGGTCCATGTAATATATGTTTTGTAATTTGTCTTTGACCATATTGAGGCGGCAAACATGTAATCTTGTCCATTTACGCAAAGCCAGTGTAGTATAAACATCCTAACCTTTTAACAAAAACCCATAGTCTTGATCCTAATTTATAGGCTAATGCCTGGCCTTGTGAGGACCAGCATTTTTTTGCCCAAATGGAAAATCAGTCACCACAATATGAGTGTGTGAAAAGATGGATGTCCTCGCAATGTGATTAATCCAAATGCACACACAAACACGCAGCAGCTGCTAAGCCACTGAAATGTAGAGAGACACAACAGCTGCAGTCAGACCTCCTGCTATAAATAACATGAGCTGGTAAACGAGACAACAGCGGTGGAAGAAGTACTTTTACTTTAGTAAAAGCAGGAATATCACACTGAAAAAAATACTCTGTTACAAGTGAAAGTGAAGTGCTGAATTGAAAAATCCCACTAAAGTAAAAATATTAGTATTAATTTTCGACTAATATCAGTATTAGTAGAAAATGTCCTTAAAGTTTCAAAAGTAAATGTACTTATTGTGCTAAAAGTCTCCATTCAAAGTTTTATATTTTTTATACATAAGGCTGTCAGATAAACTAGTACTAGTACTATATTTCCCTCTGAAATGTAGTGGAGTAGAAGGAAAATACCTCAAAAGTATACTTAAGTATAGAAATTCAGTAAAAGTACTTCAAGACAACACACACAAACAAAAACTTTGAAATTCTCACCACACGAAACAAAATAAAGGAAAATTAATCAAAGGAAAACAACAACAAAACATTATTTAAGGACAAAGGAGCTCTTTTAGCATAAGAAATCTCTTACAAACAATAAAATAGTAATTTCTTATTGTCTGATAAGAGAAATTGTCAGCTTTAACTACTCAAATAAAGTTAAATTAACAACAAATATTTCCTCTTTGCTTTGCCATGAAAAGGACCCTAAAATTAAAGCCACTTCACAGAAGTTAAATAAAGTCAACAATGTGATAAACATAATATAATTCAGACATAAAAAGACTGTGTGTCTGCAGCTGTGGGAGTTTTAAACAATTCGCTGGAATAATCTCATGAATCACAAACATTTAAGACAAACCATGCCTTTAAAAAAAACACACTCCAGGCAGACTTTATCTCTGATTTAACCTTTACATGCCATCTGCAAGGAGTCTAAATCTTCAAACTACTTTTATATACAAAGAGGAGGGGTGGGGTTTGTAAAACAAATTAAGAAAACACAACAAAAACGCACTCAGACAGTCGACGGGTTTGTAAATCATACCTGGGATGAACCAGGTTGTCGGTGTTGTCCATGTCGAACGATGTTGTCGGTCGGTCGGTCAGAGAAAGAAAGCTAGGAGTTCGTCTTCAGCTGAGACACTGTACACTGTCAGCTGTCTGTTTCCATCTCCAGCTGGTTGGAGGTCAAAGGTCAAACACCTCCCCTTTAAAAACGCAGAACAAGGCGCTATGACTTGGTTCTGACTGGAACCTTTATAACCAGCAGAAACTCACTGATTAGTTCGCATATTTTTATTTTATTGACTTTGTACTATGCGTACATACTTCTCACTTTTCCGACCTGTCTCACATGAAGATCTGCTTATACAAAAGTATACATAATCACAACTATAAAGTGCTACGTGCAGCTCTGCATTGTGTAATATGTCTGCCTGTGTGTTGTGCTGCTGATGCTGCATTCTGACCATTTTTTCAATTTCTTTCCATCCCTTATCATTTTTATTTAATGCAGTTTTGTCCATCTCGCCTTGAGGTCATTATGTAAGCTTTTACCTTTCTACTTCTCCTTCACACATTTTTCCCCCTTTAAATTAATGAATATTTGAGTATATTTAGGTAAAAGTGTGTCGTTTTCTATTTGCAAAATATATCAACATAATAGGGCTGCAACCTGATTGCTGACCCCTTAACTATTGTATTATTACATACATGTTACATACATGTATTTAATATATCTATCTATTCTGCGAGCAGAGGTTCAGAGTTTAGATGGAAACCTCTTGAGTGTAATTTAAGGCGTCAGCATGCAGAGAATGTGTATGTGTTTGTATATTATATATAGTCTGTACAGCAGTGTGTTGTGTTTGAGGTATTTGGGTTTTTTTCAGTACAATCAGCTCCCTCATGTGGAAAAAAACAGAACTACCACTCCCACATAGTAAACCTTGAATTTAATGTTACTTCCTCACCTTGTTTTAAGTGGGTCATTTCCTTGTTGTCACTTCTTTGACATGTCTCCAAACATGTTAGAAACAACATGTGATATTCAGATCTACATCAGCATGCACGTGGATTCCCCCCTCTGGTGGAAATAAATGTGTAAGACTTTTGGAAGTTCTAGTTTTTACAAGTGGGTGAAATTAAATAATAATAAATTTGAATTAAAACATATTTGCATTCATTCACAAGTCATTGACAAAATAATAGTTTGTGATATGTATGTTTTTTGTTTTCAATATTATTTGTCATATCGACCTCAACAAATAGTTTACGTGATTAAACATTTTTATAATTTCCCTCACATTTTGCATATTCAGTAAACTGTTTCATACTGTTTTATCTCTGTGAATGATGTTTTGGAGTATTATCCATGATGCCAGGATATCCTTCTAGCAGAGAAATCCATATTTTAATTTATTTTTAATTTTAAAATATTGACTCTAACACCAGAATCAGCCTTAAAAATTAACCATGTGTAACTAATGTGCAATTGTTGAACATAAACTCCTCTCCAGGTCATTAAAACCTCAGTGAGTTATACACCCCTGACCATAATCAAATATTTGATGACACAATTTAGGGAGTTGTCTACAGACAGGAAGTGAGTTTTAAAATTCAGACAGAGCAAATCTCTGAGTCATTAGCGGTGATAGCAATTCAGATGTAACTAATATGTTTGTTCTGGTGACTTACTGCCTCTTTAAACTCTGTCAACAGAAACTCAGCAGCGAGAGATTTGAGTACAATTAAGGCTAATAAGAGTTAACCGGTCTAATACCAAAAGATGTATTTAGGCTAATGAGGAGATAATGATTAGACATTTATTAGTCATCTTTTTGACTTAGTCAATCTTAAGCCAGGGTGGAAATTAAACATCCACATTGAGTAATTAACCTCAACATTGAGTACTCAATAGTTTACTTGAGTATTTCCACATTACTCCACTACAGTTCAAATGGAAATATTGTACTTTTCACACCACCTTGTTCACCTGACAGGATTTTCGTATAAAGCTTGTCCCTTTTGAGAGGCTAATGGGAACCACTGAACTAAACTTGCTCACTGTAAAGTAGTTAGCATTTTGGCCATCACCATTTATTTTAAAAAAATGTATCCAGAAGTGACCATATTTGGATGAGAGTGTGGCGCTAGATAGCTTAGTTAGAAAAGTACATCTGTTGTTTACATTAACTGTGTTGAATAATTGGGAAGCAAAATGTGCTGCTTACCAGGACAAAATGATCAGCGACTCCTTATGTCTATTACTACAGAAAAAGAAACAGAAAGTTGAAAAAGACATTTTTAGGAACCAAAAACTTCAGTGAAGTGGCTTTTTTCATCGCAAAACTAAGTAGTTAAAACCAGCAAATATGTTAACTGTATAAAGTAGTTAAAACTAGTGGATTGTATTTGTAGTTTTAACTAGCTGACTCTAACATTATATAAAGTAGTTAAAACTACCTAACTGTGTAAAGTAGTTAAAACTAGCTAATTGTTTAATGTAGTTAGAAACTGACTGTATAGTTTTTAGGTAACTCCATATAAAGTAGTTAAACCAAGCTAACGTTCACTTATAGTTACAATTATCTAACTGTGGACAGTATAAAGTGGTTAAAACTAGTTAACTTTATAAAGTAGCTAAACTAGCTAACTCAATGTAAACTAGCTTTAGCTAACTGAATATAAAGTAGCTTTAGGTAACTCCATATAAAGTAGTTAAACCAAGCTAACATTCACTTATAGTTACAACTATCTAATTGTGGACAGTATAAAGTAGTTAAAACTAGTTTACTTTATAAAGTAGCTAAACTAGCTAACTGAATGTAAACTAGCTTTAGCTAACTGAATATAAAGTAGCTTTAGGTAATGGGGGTGGTGATGGCGCATGGATAAGATTGCCTAAGAGCCTTTGGTGTGGGAGACTGGGGTTTGATTCCCACTGTGAGACATCCACCATTGTGTCCCTGAACAAGACACTTAACTCCTAGTTGCTCCAGAGGCATGTGACCTCTGACATGTATAGCAATTGTAAAATGCTTTGGTTAAAAGTGTCAGATAAATGTAACTGAATATAATGTAGTTTTAGGTAACTCCATATAAAGTAGTTAAGCCAAGCTAACATTCACTTATAGTTACAACTATCTAACTGTATACAGTATAAAGTAGTTAAAACTAGTTAACTTTATAAAGTAGCTAAACTAGCTAACTGAATATAAAGTAGTTTTAGCTAATTGTATATAAAGTAGTTTTAGGTAATTGTATATAAAGTAGTTTTAGGTAATTGTATATAAAGTAGTTAAACCAAGCTAACGTTCACTTATAGTTACAACTATCTAACTGTGGACAGTATAAAGTAGTTAAAACTAGTTAACTTTATAAAGTAGCTAAACTAGCTAACTGAATATAAAGTAGTTTTAGCTAACTGTATATAAAGTAGTTAAAAACTAGGTAACTGTAAAAAGAAGTTTAAATTAGTTAACTATAAATTAGTTACAGATAGCTAACTGTATACAATAGAATAATAGAAACAGATCAGTGTTTCTGAACTTTTGACTTCTGATACTTTATGTAGGCATTGGTTTTGCTGTAGCTAATACTTTTAAATGCAGGACTTTTTACTTGTAGTCTAAGGAACTAACGTTACTTTTATAGGGTGGTATTGGAAGCCTGCTTCTACTGAAGTTAAGGATAAAAATACTTATTCCACCACAGGCACTTAGTGAATCAAATGTTGTGTTGTTGAGTTCAAAAGCCCACAAATTACTGACAGTTTTTCTACCAATGAACGGAGATTTCCGAATGCTACCGACCTCAGGTGTGTCATCACAGTGACAGGGCGCGTCACCGGAAGCAGCCGCTCCATATTTGGTTAGTTACCCGTCGAGCTGGATTCTTCGTTCCTCTCACAACCGTCACACACGGAAAAAGCAGGCGCGCGGTCGCAGCTCCTGAGGACGGCGAGAGGAGGAGACGGTGTTTGGAGACGAGGTTTGAGTCGAAGAAGTGAAAAACTGCAGTTTAAAGGTGAGTTTGTTATCATTCAGTTACACGCGCGGAAAACGGACAGTTTACAGGACAGGTTTTTTTTACCAGTTTGAGATGAGAAGGGCGCAGAAACGTGCGACACACCGTCTGACAGGTGTGTTTCTGACTGCCTGCTTATGTCCAAAACGAAGGACGTGTACTTTTCAGCTGTTTATTTTGGTTTTAAACACAACTTTTCCGGCTCTCTGTTTGTGTGTGAAGCTCAAGTGTTGAAACAAGGCGTCATTTAATCGTCGTGTATCCAAATACAGAAAATAAATAAACCGATTTAACACGTTGAAGTCTTAACTAACTTGGTGAAGAGTCCTAGTTACCTGGTGAAGACTATTTGCTGGAAATTGGCCCAGGAAAACAAACGCTACGTCCAGCATGCATTCTTGCATAAGGGTTACTTACTGTAACTTTTAATTGGATGCATTTTATGCATTTTATTTTAGGCTTAAACGATTAGCTAATCCATTAATCAAATCAGCAAAAACGTCAATACTTCTGGAGGAGCTCTGTCAATATGCAGTGTATAAATAAAATATGTGTTTTATTGGTTCTTTCATTTAGTGCTGAAACAGTTACTCATTAATCAGTTCAATCTGCAAACTGATAATCGATTTATCATTGTCTTTGTTTTCGTTGTAAATTGAATGTGTTTGGGTTTCGAGCCAACAAACAATTTGAAGACATCTGGGCATCACTGTTTTCTGATAATCAATCCCCCAAAACAATCAACAAATACACTGATATTGAGAATATAGTACTAGTTGCAGCCCTACTTTAGTATCAGTTTAGCCAAAATGAACAGTTTGTTCAGCCCTGTAATACTCTCCACCCTGCCTGTCCTGTGTTGGTGAATCATCTCTTATTAGGGGGAAATTTAATTCTCGTGGTCTTAACTTCATTACTGTTAATTTCTCTGTTATTCTGTGTCTCTGTAAACAGAAAGAGACATAAGAATCAGGAAGAAGATGGGTTTAAATATATTTAAAATCTCACCAGACTGGTGCTGAAATGAAAGTAAAAGTCACCATGTTTTGAGCTGTGGAGAATTTTTAGCAGCTAAACATTGAAATCAAAATTAATTAACACCAACCAAAGCACAGAGGGGGAAAATTGTCTAACAATGAAAGATTCTTTACTTATTCTCTTATTTAAATAATAATTGTGTTATGTTTAGATGACGCTGTTATAAGGCTGCTTGTGTTTATACACACACGAATTTGAGATGTTTGGCTTATTTTGTCACATTTCTAAAAAGGGTTTTGCACAAAAACGTTTTGTACATCCCTCAAAGAAGACTTTTGATACCAAATGGAGCTGAAAATACCAGTCAATTATTCGAGTAGTCGAGCGAAAGAGACTCATTTTCTATACTTCCTCAAGCAATAAACATCAAGTATACACCGCTTACAGCTTCTGAAATGTGAGGATTCGCTGCTTTTCTTTGTCTCGTGTCACTGAACATTTGATATGTTTAGGTTTCAGACTTTTGTTTGGACAAAACAAGCACGTCACTTTGGAGTCTGGGAAATTAAAATGGGTGGTGTTGGGGTGTTGCAGCCCAAATACCAAACCCTTAGGAAATATTTTAAATGATGCCCAAATGTAATTACAGGTGTTTATTACTGGATTGCATTACAGCTGTTGCATTTAGATGTTCAGAGGGTTTCTGTTTTCTGACTTGTGTTTTTAAAAGAGAGTTTCAGATACTAGATAAACAGTGAGATTTCCTTCATTAAAACTTAAATCAGATGCAAATGTAGAGCTCGTGTGAGACTGGTTCAGTTTGGCAAAGACATTTTTCTAATTTATTTTCATTTGTCAAAATAATCCTGCCTGACAACTTTCAAGCAGCAGGTTATTTCCATGATGAATAGGAATACTTGTGTGTTTGTACAGGGAAGTTTAACATCACACACATTCACCTTTGTGTGAAATGTTGTTGAGGCAGCAGGGAGGGCGGGTATTTAGCAGGAGAGAGAGACATGACTCAGTTCTCTCAGTCTGCAGCAGTTTAGACAAATCAGTGCTGCCCAGACG